GCTGTAATTAATTTTATCTTACCTGAGATAAGGGCAACATATACCCTCGGTATTTTGTAGGCAAGAATTCGGTTTTTATGATAAGTCTGAAAAAAAAATATGCAGAGAGAGTGAGAATCTGCATGCAGCTGAAATGCCAGCTCAGTCAATTTTAGACTCCACTGTCAGTCAGTAGAATTATAGTCGCTCTTTCACTGCTGGCAACTGAAAATTGGGTGCCGAACAAATCAATGTGCATAGCATTTGTGAGCATGACTCATTGCATACCATTGAGTCAGATCCTCAGCTCAAGTAAATGGGTGTAACTCAACTGACTTCACTGGAACTGTGTCCATTTACAGCTGACGAGGGTTTGACCCTAAGCTTGTAATTCAGTGAAGAGTCTGGTCCTTTGACAGAGCGTATCCCCTCCTCCATGTCAGAGATCCTGTAATGTTACTGCTCCTGCAGCAAAGATTTCTGCCAAATATCAACCTACTTTAACATGACATGCTGCACAAATATCTGCCCACAGGGACAAGGAGGCTATGTAATGTCAATTCAGTAGTACACTTGAGGACATAATTTCAGGATACAAGTATCTGAGTGCTGGCACTTTGCATCATGCACACCTCTAAGGGAAGGATCTGTGGGGCTGTTTGAACTCCATGTTTAAATGCTATGCACTCTGTGTGACGTGAAGTTAAAGAAAGGCTGGTTTTGGTTAGGTATCCCAAGGGGCTCCTCTCTTCCCCTGCCTATACCCAGAGCCTGGAGGTGAGTCATAACCTTTCACATTGGATTGAAGCCGCTTTGCAATTCATCAGTCTGTTCACTACCCGCCCAGCAGAGTCCCTGGTTGAGAACAGTAACCTCTGCAGGACACTGTTTCTTTCCCAAGGTCCAAGTGCCCTGCAGCATAGCACTACCAGTGAGAGCCAGTGGAAAAAAAAGGGGTGGGGGATAATGAAAAATTTTGAATGTTCTGATTTGTTTCCACATTGCAGGGTTTGAAATGAAACAGCTTTTCCATAAAAACTTTGGTGACATTTTTTTTTCCAAAAATTTTTGAATTTTCAGTATTTTTAATTTAAATTCCCTTCACTTCTTTCCGTTTTTTCCCCCTTTTAGCTACTGAGTGCAGAAAAAGGAATAATATGTGATTGGGAAGGGGTTCTTCACTTTTTCTCCCCTCTATAACTTTTAGAAACATCTCCAACTTCGAAAAAGTTACAGAGTGACCAAGTTACAGAGTTTTATTTTTCCTTTTGCCGCTCTAACTTTTCCAGAATTGAATATGTTTCAAAAAGTTAGAGTGAGGGGAAATGGAGGGGTAGCTTATTCTCACGTAAACTGTAGTGTAGCCATAACCAAAGACCTCAGGAAGAGCTCTGTGTAGCTCAAAATCTTGTCTCTCTCACCACCAGTAGTTAGTCCAAAAAAAGGAATTGCCTCACCCACCTTATCTCTCTAATATCCTGACACTGATACAGCTACAATTACGCTGCATATACCATTTGATAAACCATTGTCATTCATTTAGTGTAAACTAGCTGCCCCGCTCTAATCTAGATTGTTTAGAACTTTGGGAATGTAACTTAAGAGCTATGTTCTTTAATTCTGGTAAAGTGGATGGGGGAATTTTCCTTCATTTCCCCTTTATTCCCAGCCCTCTCAAGAAGTCCCTGGTTGACTGTCTACTCCTCATGATTGCTCCTGCCTGCCTGAGGTGAAGTAAACTGCCTCCACATCACTCCATGGGCTACATACAGGGGGAAATTCTATGCTCTGATAAACACAGGAGGTCAGACTTGATGATGTAATGGTCCCTTCTGGCCTTAAACTCTATGAAGCATCCAGCCTCTACTAGCCCCAGGATGCTGTGGTTTGAACTCGTAATCTGCAGAGCACTACAATTTAATAGAACTGTGTTATCACTTTTAACAGACTGAGTCTAACAAAATTAGATCAGTTCAAAGTGCATTCTAGTCTGGCTACCAGAGCTAACCGAGTACTATAGGTCTTATCCTCTTTGCCCTTGAAAAAAAGGGCACATTAGCCAGCTTGCCGGTAAGTTTTTCACTTGCTTACACTGGTTGGAAAATTTCAATGACCTTTTCTTTGGCATAAAATGAGAATTTATTTTTTCCACACACCCCCTCATGCAACCAGCTCTACTACTTACTAAATGTGACCCTTAATCACATGAGACATGGGGAGAATTCATCTGATCTCCTCCCCTTAAAAGGTATTCTTGATTTCTATTCGACTATTGCTTCCAGTGCTACAGTGCTCAAAGTACGTTACCCTTGTGCGTGGCCTGACACACCGCATCCCACCATGGCCCGGAGGAAAACGAACCAGATGTACGATGGAGAAAACGATGTCAGCAAGGAGAAATAGGCCCCCCATAAGAAAGAGATCAGCAGAATCTGGAAGGGAAAGATTAGAACACATCCCTGTTCAGGACAGCACTTCAAGCATTGGATTGAATGTTTTGCTGACTTGGGGCATAAATAAAGCACAGATCAGCTGACCCCAAATGGAAATTCAAAGCATCAGTCTCTGAGACCTTGTCTATACTACAGGTTACTTCAGAGGCAGGAGTTATTAAGCTGATAGGAGTGTCACCACCACCAGCAGTGCAGCTGCAAGTGCTGTACAACAGATGTAGCCAGAGAGACTCTTTAAATAAATAGAGGTGGGCCAGGGTTCCTTCTTAGTTAGCGCCACCTACAGCTCAGTTGGCCCCATTCGTCCACATTGACCTCTTGAAAGACCCTGATTCAAGACCAGGCTTTCAAAGGGCTTTAGATCAAGCTCAAGGGGAAGTGAAAGGGACCAAGGATCCATAAACCTTTGAATGCTTCTGAACTCTTCCAACAACCAACCACAGTGCAAATGCTATACTCTCTGTCACACGTGCTCATTGTCATATAGTCTGGCTGCCCATCACGAGAGACACAAGGGCTCTGCTTTCTGAACCAATTCTAACACTGAGATGTGGAGTGCTTAGGAATAGGGTAGCATCCCTTTAAATAGTTTGCGAGCCATCTAATAGGTCCCCACCATGTTTTGCAATTACATTTCAGAGGCTTACCTGTAGGAAGCCATGTTTGAAAATGTCTTAATTTCTCATCCCAGCCCTGCCATTGATTCACTGTGCAGCCCTGAACAAGTGTGAGAGTAGAGGGGGACATGAACAACAATAGCCCCCTCACAAAGATTGATTAGGTGATGTGGTTAAAGATGTAACAGGCTGTGTCAGTGCTAACCTTGTTATTATTATGACAGTTCTGTCATCAGGCCTGGCTCTGTTGTTAAAAGCGACTAAAATGGAATGCTCCAGAACTTTCACTTACCTTCCAGCGGCCGTATCTGTCAGCTAAGAGTCCAAAGAGTATACTGAATATCATATAGCCAAAAAACACCATCTAAGAGGGATTAAAACATTGCCTGGGTTAATCAGCAAGGGTTTTTCCACACCTTGTACCTATTATGTGACACTGCTCTTAAATGTGTGGTTGAACTTAATACACCTGAAACTGAGGGATTAATAACTGTGACTTGAGCCATGTACATGGTCAGGTTTCCCATTCACCGCTTGCCCAAGCTGTCTTAATCCAATCCAGAGCTGTAGCATCCTCTACTATTTCAATCCTGGGACTGATACTTCGGATAAACTACGACAAATCTTTAAGAGGGAGAGGATGGTCTTGTGATGAAGGCACTGAACTCAGAAGATCTGGATTCTAACCTTGACTGTGCCACATGCTTGTTGTGTGACTTTGGGCTATTCATTTATTCTTTTTGCCTCCGTTTCCACAGTTGTAAAGTGATGATAACATGTCCCTCCCTCAAAGGGCTGTTGGGAGATTAAATTCATTAACATCTGTGATGGGTTCAGATACTGCCCTGTGGAACAGTCTATAAATAACTAAAATTAGTATATATTAGGTGACAATTTTCTTAGTACTCATATGTCCCTTTTCTCCATAGCATTTGAGCGTCTTCTGGTCTGGTCAAATGTGCATTTAAACTAAACCAAATAGCTCCTTCCCCTGGCAATGTTAACAGAGTACAAGCTTAAGGGGTTATAAATGCCACATACCGTTGTCACTAAAGCCACCTGCCAGTCATTAAGTTGCCACTCACAACGGATGAGTGGAGAAACAACAGCTATTAGCATGATCTCCATGGCTTCTACCACCTTCAAGAACAAACATGCACATTAGCAAAGTCTGGTTCCAGTGTCAGTACAGTGAACAATTCCTTTGCATACTGGGGGAAAAATCCCAGTCATGCTAGGGCTTGAAATCCTGGTAACCAAAAGTCAGGCCACCCATTTGGAACAGTACACGTACACTTTCCAGAACCAACCTGCAGTATTCTGCAGGCAGAGATGAAGGAATCATGGAACTGGCATCTCCCTCAGCCCCTGATATGGAGTATACCCAGTACCTCTACAATGTACCCTCCTCCCCCATCGGTTGTATTACCTGGAATCTCAGTCCTTCAAAGAACAGTTACTGTGGTACTGGACTCAGAGAATATAACCATTTACAAGGCCTGCTGGAGGACCCAGTCTTTGTCTTGTCCAGAAAATTGTGAACTCTTGGAAACATGGGGGAGGGGTTCAGAGGGAAGCTTCTCAAATTATGTTTAGGAGGGCTGGAGACTCACAGGGTCCCCTGTTCCTGCCCATGTGTATTGGTGGAGGCTGTTTTGTCCTTCAGACTCTTGAAAAATCAAGCTACTTCTCTCGGTGTCTAACTATGAATTTAAGAGTTTTAACTCGAGGCACCCACGTTTGAAAATCTTGGCTGGGAAGTGCAATTGTACTATGTTGGTTTAATGCGTGTGACCATGTCGCCCACTAGTGGCTGGCGACAGCAAAGATAAGAGCCTGATATTTACTCATAGCTAATGGAGTCACGCTTTTAGCTCAAATTATAACGTTTTGGGTGCGGTCACTCATGTCTGAGCCCAGCTGACGACTGTGGCGTTTCCGTGTTTTTCAGGATGGCTCGTTACACAAAGAAGAAAGGAAAGGGAACCAAGAGTGACAAATGCTGACCCATGTACACCCATGCAACCCCAGTTAAGTCAATGGTGAGTGATAGGTGAGGTGAGAAGTGAGCCTAGAGTCTATGAATTCTGCTTCACATTAATATGGACACTGTAATATCACATTAATATGGACACTGTAATATCACATTAATATGGATACTGTAATAGGATTTTTAGGCTCAAGTTAGTGGACAATGAAAACCTACACCAGTACTGCCCATGATCAGGAAAAGCGCTATATGAAACCGCCCAAACCCGATGGTTTCCACAGCCTCTTCCACTGTAAATGTCTTCTGCTCTAAACATCAAAGAGAAAGAGAGTGTTAGAACTGAGATCACCTCTAAGTACGTCCTTGCAAAACAGAACCACTTTTTGTTATTGTGTAATGGCAGGAAAGTTGTTGGAAACTCCATCTGTGCCCAAGATGTTATATCAACTAAGCAGCACTAGAGCCCCTAGAGGCCAGGGTGGCTGGGCACTTTAGAGATTCAACAAAAGAAGAGAGAGATAAAATCGAGAGATGATAGATAACCAGTGAGAATACAGAACATGCATGGAAGGAAGGAAGAGGTCTATCATCCAATGCTTTTCATATAGTATTCTGAGCTACTGTATGTGTTGCATAGAGCAAGGAAGAATGGTTTAGGGTTAGAGAACTGTACTGGGATGCTGGAGCCCTGGGTTATTTCCCATCTCTACCACAGATTTCTGGTGTGACCGTAGACAAGTCACTTACTCTCTGTGGGCCTCTGTTTCCCAGCCGTAATAGCTGGGATAATACCACTTTCCCCAGCACAGTAGAAATTTCAGAATGGGAGGAAGCCAGAACTCACTGCAGCCCAGTAATCCTTGTTATTTTAAAGGCCCCAGATGAAAGTTACAAGCTGGCTGCTCTAACCTGTGCTATAGGTCAGGTCAGCCGCTGAAGAGCTTAGTGCCAACTTTACTTTCCCATCTTCAGCATAAGCATGGCACAGCTGAGGAGTGGGCCCGAGCTTCCCTTGCATAAATTGCTTTAAAATAAGCTTAATAGAAAGTGCTAAAATCTACGTTTAAACTATATTAGGGTAAAATTCTCTTGCTTAATTGCTATCACAGAGTAGCATCCAGAGGGCTGGCTATTTATCCCAGCAGATACTTGCTCATCACGTATGCAAGTGGTAGGGCTCTATGTGGGTGAAGTGCAGGGCGGGCTGGGGAAGCCACACCCAACCCCAACCCAGGGCCAGACTGCCCCTCCTTACTGAGAGGTGACAACCACCACCCTCAGTCCAGCTTATGTGAACCAACCTTTCTTGGGTTCTTGCCTCTCAGTGCCTATTTCCTCCAGGCCAATGGCATTTGATATTTCTTTTTCCTGGGTGGCCATCTTCAGCTCTTGTCGGGTTCCCAAAGATGACAATGGAGATGACTTTGATTTCACTTTCCAACCTATAAGATAGTCACAACCCTGTCTTAATAATGAGCCAAGAAGCAATTTCTAATGCAAGACTGGTGGAAGTGAGGGCAGTTTAAACTAAGAAGTTTCAGAGGATGCTAATAGGAAACGTTAAGGGTTCCTACCTACCTCCTCTTGGTGTATGTTTAGATAAAAAATTAGAAGGGCGGTCACAGGACAATTTATTAAAATTGGCAAAGGTCAGTCACCACCCTGGCCTATACGTGAAAAGTCCAATGAAGCTACTAAAACAGGCTGGATAACACTCCTATACTTTCGTGGGGTATTGTGGAGGCTTTTTAATCAACATTTGTAAAGAGATTTGAGATCCTCAAGTGAAAGGTGCTACATGAGCAGAAGTCATTGTCTGCAGGGTGCCTAGCATGCTGTGGGTTTGTGTTCACTCAAGGAAAGGAAGGCAAGGAAGGAATCAGGTAACCTAAGTGGGAGACTGTATGCATGTTAACTTTCCAACATTTTCCTTAGAGTAGTAATAGACTCTCTCTTCACGGAGAGACGGTGTGTGTTTGCACCAAAATCTAAATGCTTCATGAATCAGGTTGATTTCACCAGAATTTTGTTTTGGAAGAAAACTGGGAAAAAGTTCCAATAACATTGAAACAACCTGTTTTCACGTTTTTGTAATGGAACATTTACATTTTTCATTACGAAAGGACTTTTCATTTGAATTTTGTATTATATTACATATTATGATGCATACAAAACATTTAAAGTGTCAAAACTGACTTGAAAACAAAAAAACAAAATGTTTCAGAATTTTCCTTCATGGAGAATTTTGAAATTTTCTGGTTTTGCTCTGCTGCAGAACAAAGCCTAATTTAGAAAGCCCCAAATCCTTAGCAAAGTGAAATTTCCCTCCTCTGTGCAGTTCTGCTACTCACTCTTAGCCGCTGGGCTGGTTCTAGGGGAGGGTGAGCAGGGCAGTTGCTTTAGGCACCAACTTCCAGGGGGTGCTGTGCCACTGTGATGCTCAGGTGGTTTTGGTTTGGTTTTTTTTCGGCTGTTTGGAAGAGAAGTGGGGATGCAACAAAAACATTTTCTGCCCTGGCTGACAAAAGAGCCACCTCCTGCTTAGGAGAGACTCTCGTGTGACACAAATGAAAGCATAGCTCCAGATGAAGTCCCAGTAGGGGCAGGTTCCTGCACATGCACTGAGAATGTAGGAAAGAGGGTTGTGCTGTTTTGTGGGACTCCTTTGACTTGGAATTCTGCCTGCTTTTCCTGTTTCCTCAGAAACAGATCCACATTGGCTTTCACTTGAGGAACCAGCAGTGCTGGGGAAAGGACCAGATGGACAACATTAGGGATTGCCATCCTCTTTCTCTGCACGCAATGGGGATTAGCATGGGCAGCAGCAATGCAAGCTACCTTAACACTGCCCCCTTCCAGCCACCAGCGGCACCCTCGACCTTGCACTGAAAGGACTTCTTGGGGTGAAGACAGCTGTTGAGGCTGGGATTTGCAAAGATGCCTAAGGAAGTTAGGCCTTAAATCTTCCTTGTGTCTGTAAAAAGGGGACAATGCCTACCTCACAGGAATGTTGTGGGGATTATTTCCCGCTGGCTAAGCTCTTTTAAAGACATAATGAGCTCTCTAATTGCTAATCATTATTATATCATGCTTTGAAATTAATCCCAGCAGGTTGGAACACCCTGCACACATATCAAAGGGGATCGCGCATCTGTGCTGTAAGCGCTCTTTCTTAAGCCCTTCGTACGCTGCCTGAGAACAACACTGCCAGTGTATTCTGTGCAACCTAAACCCCCATTATATAACCAGCAAAACACAGCCCGTTGTTGGTGCTGCTCCTCAATGAAAATAACATCATGAGGTTCTTTTACCCAGCTTCCTCAAACAGTTTTGACCCCCATCTCACATTCTGCAGTCTCAGGGGTAGGGAAATGGATCCAAAAGGTCTGGATTGCAACGGAGGCAATCACAGGTCTCCTCTGCTGGCTGGGGAGTTGAAGCTTAGTGTTTTCACTAATGCTGCAGGGCTGTGAGCTCGCCTGCATTTGGGATGTGGGTCCAACTCCTAGTGAAGTCAATGGAAGGCTCTTTTTGACATCAGTGGGAGTTCGGTTGGGCCCCTGGAGGGAGACACTAGGAAATTCACTCAGTCACCCTCAAACACATTCCACTTCCAGGCGCAGGACCAATGTACTGTTTCCCATCCCAGTAGGCCTAGCAAGGGGAGAGAGGCAATGGAGGAGAGAAATGTTGACAGAGAGGGTTGAACACTGAAGGCAAAAATAGATAGAGACCAAAAGGCCAAATCAGAAAAGAAAATAGTTTGAAGAGAGTCAGACAGAGAGTTGAGATAAGAAAATGAACTGCGACATTTTAAAAAAATGTAAAATGTCAATTATATTAGTTAGAGGGAAACACAAACACTGAACAAAGATTGAATTCTGGAAACATTCAAAACTAGGTCAACACTTTACACTGGGTTAATAATTGATTAATAGATGTTTTAGATTACAGAATCTTTGTTATAGATTGTTACAGAATCCAACAGGCCAATAGGCTGCTTATTGTATAGCTTATAACATCTCCCTCTGAGGTGTTTATAACTGTCCACAACACATATTACGCATATCTGTAATATGCTTATACCGTCTATTCCCAATTCTTAACCATTTATAAGTGGAAACAATATAAATTGTGACTAAAATGGATTATCTAGAAGAGCCCTTGGAAAGAGAACAGTGCTTCATGCCAGGTTTGAATTGTCTTCTTCACAACTATAAAGACTAGAGACTTATTTATCCTAAACAACTCTGTCAATACTTTCTGCCCTAATATTGCTGTGCACTGCTGAAAAGCTGCTGTGTGCCAAACCAGAGCTGGCTTCGATGCAGTGAAGTGATGATGATTATTACAGTGTTTGTGGTGGAGAGTAGGGGTTGGAAGGCAGCTAACTAGATCAGATGAAAGGAGAGAGAGATGGGAGGTCTTTTAGCTGGTAAGGGCCCAATCCAAAGCCTGCAGAAGTGAAAGGAAAATCTCTCATTGACTTCAGTAGGCACTGGACGAGGCCCTTATGCCATGATTTTATAGTTCAGAGAAGGGGGGAGGGGGAGAGAGAGGTGAGGTAATATCGTTTATTGGACCAACATCTGCTGGTGAGAGAGACAAGCTTTGGAGATACACTGAGCTCTGCGTCAGGGCTGGGAAATGTACTCCCAGTGAGGCGTGGAGTGCCTTCCTCGGGTCTGCAGAAGAGTTCTATGCGCTTCGAAAGCTTCTCTCTCACGCACAGAAGTTGGTCCAATAAACAAGATTATCTTGCCCACCTTGCCTGTCTAAATTCTGGGACCAACGTGGCTACAACCCCACTGCATATGCTGATTCAGACCAGTTTGATAGTGAGGTGCCCATCAGAACCCTAAATTGAGGGTAGCGCAGAGAAAGCATTTGGCAAATCAGTGTTAACAGAAGGCTCCACCTTTTTTAGTCACTCTCTAGTGCTCCCACACTGGCTGCATGCTTCACAGATAAATACGCTGATAGATCTTTCGCAGTGCTACCGTGGTGGTCATGAGAAAAAGCCCCCGGCTTCACATCTACAAAGGAGCAGCAGTACAGAAACATGCCCTGTATGTTCATCTCTCTCTCCATACGGTGTCTTGTGCTGGATGCATCATGAAAGACACTATATACTGCAAACGTCTGTAGTACTACATGCCTTACAACAGCTTTTATGTCTAAAGGAATGGGTGAGCTGAGTGTGTAATTTTTATCCATATGTGAATACTTCCAAGAAATCTTCCTATACCTCTTACTAAAAGTGCAGGCTTGCTCGCCCCAAACATTTCCAAACATATTTGCCCTGGTAGAAGAGCTAGAGTCTTCTGTCCTTCCTGAGGCTGTCACAAGAGTTAATTGATTAATAATTGTAAATCACTTTGAAACCATTAAGTGCTGTATAAGTGATACATTAATAACCAGCACCACCACCACAATGCACTAGCTAAAGGGAGCAGCGTGAGTGATAAGTTCAGTGGCACAGAGATAACACAGAAAGATTAAATGACCCACAACGAGAACCCTGGCAGGATTTCTCAGCAATGGAGCTGGGGCCACAGCTGGCAGGTATAGGAAATACATTGCTGCTCACCAGGCCTTCGGATAACTTAGTCTCCATCACAGCAAAACACACAACTCTGATGTACAAACATTCAAACAACCCCAACCCACCTAGACAGGACTTGTTTTTGATTTTTGAGTAAAAGTTTCTTACCTTAGAAAGATCTCAAGCTTGGGGAAATGTCTCTTTCCTCATTTATAGTTTTAAATATTCCGCTCTTTTCATTTTATTGCACGAGCTCCATTGCTGCTTTTGGGGCCAGCTTCCGTAAATTACTTTTCTTCCTAGCCGGAGGCACACACTTCCCCCTTTAAATCTTTCAATCCTGGCTTGTCTGGGTTTTAAACGAAGGGCTTCAAAACTTCCTCGTTCCTTTCCAAAGTAAGTTGCTGCATTTATTGTATCTTAATAGGTCAATTCACTCTGTGCCTCCAGGAAATGTTTTTAAGGAATTTACACTAAAATATGCAGGTTAATGTCCTTGAGTCACGCCTCCTCCACGACAACATTTCACCTGTCCCCTCTTAAAAGGGCAACACCAACCCATAATTTCATAGCATCTAACGCCAGAAGGGACCATTAGATCATCTAATCTGACTACCTGCCTATCACAAGCCATTACATTTCACACAGTTACCCCTATATTGAGCTCAATAATTTGGGTTAGATTAAAGCAATTTTAACTCCTCAGGAAACTAAACTGTTGTGTTCCACAAACAAAGAACAGGAGAGACCAAGGTGTCACCTATGCTCAAGGTCCCTGCAGTGGCAGGGAATTGATTTGGTGAGATCTGCCCAGGTGATCCCAGCAGGCAAACCAGGCCCCATGCTACAGAAGAAGGTGAAAACTCCCAAGGTTCCTGCCAGTTGCCCAGGGAGAAAATTCCTTCCTGATCCTGAAAATGGCAATCAGTTTGACACTGAGCACGTGAACATGGCGCACCAGCCAGGTATAGAGAAAAAGGCCTCCATATACCACCTCAGAGCACTGATCCATCCCATCTGTTGTTCTGTCTCCTCCTCTGGTCAATCCCTGATGCTTCAGAGGAAGGCAAAAAAAACCCCAACCCAACCTAACTCCCTTCCCATGCCCCCACCTCCTGCCCAAGATTACGTCTGGGCAATTGTGCATCGGGGAAAAAATTCTTTCTGACCCCTGCAGGTGACCAACTAAAGCCCTGAAGCATGAGATGTGATTATAGTCATCATCACAATGCAAAACTGCAAGTGGCATGAGCATGTTGTGGGCAATGCAGCACTTCCTGTTCTCTCCATGGCCAATGGGAATGGGAAAAATCATAGATTTACAGACTCACCTCAAACGCTGACAAACAGAAACTGATGGGAAGACATCCTTTGTTAAAAGAGAGAGGCCCCTAACATAATGATTGGGAGGGTCAGATTCCAAATGGTCTCCTCTGATGGTGGCATGATGGCCTGAAATCTATTCCCATATATTTCCAGTTTAATACAAGCACTATGTTTTGCAATAAGGACTTATGAGTTAAGTAAAGGAGGGCAGTTTTCTATAGGTACCAGCTTCTCCCAATGTTCCCCAACAAGAGTAACTTAACAAGGAATGAAATAGAGAACCCCTGACACCCCATTAAAGATTAACACAGAATGGTAGCCCTTTCAAAAGTTATTACTAATTATTATTAGTAGTATTAAAGTAGTGCCTAGGGACCCCAGCCAAGATCAGGGCCCCAGTGTGCTAGGACAGTTCCTACTCTTGAAGAGCTTACAATAAAAAATAGACAAGACAACCCAAGGGTAGGAGAAAGGAAGTGTTGTTATTCACATTTTACAGGTTGGAAACTGATGCACAGAGCAATTAAGTGACTTGCCCAGGATCAGACAGTGGGAGGCAGCACTGGGACTAGAACTCACATCTCCTGAGTCCCAATCCAGTGCCTTCGCCACAAAATAAAATAAAAGGAAATTACCAAAATAAGGAACAAGCAAAATAAGTGAGAGCACAATATGCCAGGCAAATGGGGATGTATTTGGTAAGAGTGCTGCAGATCAGTATTTCTGCTTCTTACAGTTATGTCAATGACTGAATGGGAGAACAACCTGACACATGATAGCGTCAGAGGCACAGGTCCAGAAGATGGTGGAAAGGCAGCTATGTCTGAGCAAGTAGATGTTAACACTTCTTTACACAGGACGTAATCAGACTGTAGGGTTCATTGCCATTAGAAGGAAACTGATCTAAGGGAATAGCTTCATCAATAGTAAAGTCAGTCAGGACCTTTATGGACCCTTAGTCTGACCTCCTGGATAACACAGGCCACAGAATTTCACTCAGGGATTCCTGCAGCGTCTAGCACAGCACCTTGTGGTTGAAGAAGAACATCTCTTTTAGAAAGACAGCTGAGCTTGGTTGAAAGAGTCCAATTGATGGCGCATGCACCTCATCCCTGAGTGTGCTTGTCCAAATAGTAACCATCATCACGTGTGTCTAATTTCCAGTTGAATTTTTTTTAAACTTCAGTTCCCAGCCATTGGATCTTGTTACATCTTTGCCTGCTACCCAGTATCATCTCTTTATGTAAGTACTTGTGGGCTGTGGTCAAGTCACTGACAGATGTAGCAATTTCTTGAAACATCCTTGGGTGACCTTTTGAATTAAATTCAAGTATCTTTGGGGCCCATTGTATTGAACGAATGGTGTATGTATTATTGTGGACTGGGATTGTATGCAAATTCCCCACCTCTAGTTGTGCAACCCCCCGGCCTTTTGAAGCTACACCTTTAGGAGCGGGCCCCTGTCTGCTGATCACCCATTACACGAGGCCAAGATCAAAGGTCCAGGCTGCGTGAAGGAAAGTCTGAACTAGCCATGGGGGTGGGTGTCTGATTCTGAGACAGTTATGAATGTGTGGGTTTTGAAGGGCTGACACCAGAGCCCAAGCATGAAGTGGGGGCTGACCTCTGGTGAGATTTTTAGCATGCATGTAGATTGTTAATATATTTTTTCTATAATGGTTTCATCTTATGAATAAATGTGCTTGCTTAGAAAGAGCTGTGTGGTAAATTACACTGTTCAAAACTCTGGTGAGAGAGCACGGACACTGCTCTGGCTTGCTGGGCTATCACAGTGTAGGCAGGGAACTCTGCAGCCTGAAAATCCCGGGTCAGGAGAGAAATGTGGGTTGCTCCCAAGAGAGGTGAAGGCTGAGGAGCCAGGACACTAGGGCGGGTGCCTTGAGGGACTACAGAAGGGGAATATAGGTGCAGTTGCCCTGAACTGTGACAATCACCTAGTAACTGTCTCTGCAATAGCTAAATAGACTGAACTCCTTAAGTCTCTCATTGTAAGGCATGTTCTTCAGACCTTGCATCTTTCCTGTGCCTCTTCTGTTAATATTCCCCCTTTTATTAACATCCCTGTTTAAAACGTGAACACCAGAACTGATCACAGTGTTACAGTAGTAGTCTTACCAAAGCATTTTTACCTCATGCCGCATGGCCTCTGGGGGTCAGGAAGGAATTTGCTCCAGCCCAACATATAACATTCCATAGGATTATTTTACATCCTCCTTTTAAATGTCCTGCCCATGCTGAACTAGATGGCTCAGTAGTAGGATTTGGTGGGGCAGATCCATGATCCTATACCCACTTTGTAAACTGCTTTCAGCAAAATTGAAACGCTTCACATAAAATCACAGCATTTTGTAGAAATGTCACAATGCCAACTTCCCCGTGTTAATGTGAACAATACTGGCCACAGTTCTGTGAAATTCCCAACCAGTAGAGACTCATAATTTTAGGCCCAGAGATCCAGTGTTCAAGCCCTACCAATGATACATCCAGGAGAATCGTGACAAATAATGTGCTATTGGAGGACTGAACTTTTGTGGATCTCTAATGCATGGGATGAGCTTTCCTGACCAGTGAGAGTGTGTAACCTCCACGGACATTGTTGACTTTGTTCCCCTCTAGTGGCTAGGCTATGTAGAGAGATTTTTGGGTCTAAACGGCCTCCAAACTAATGCAGCTAATTCTTTAGCTCAAGCAGTAGAGGCTTGTGCATTTTGATCCAGAGCTCTCCACTGATGACCCACTTAGCAGCATGTTTATATAAACATACGTGAAGGAGTTCAGAGACATTGTGCATTATTATTATTATTCAGATGCCCAGAGAAACTGGGAATAAACTGGCTAATAGAATGTGTGTGTGGGGGGTGGGGGTGGGGAGGAGTAGATGAAGCAGCCGTGCTGCCTATTAGTATTCAGAATGAA